CCATGGGCACCTGAGTCTTGCTGTCCCTGCACTGTATGGTGATGTCATCTGAGCTCCGTCTGTGTCCAAAAACTGCAACATGCCTATGATCAGGGGTGGAGAGGAAAAGATCAGATGAATCAGAGTTTTTACCCTGAAACAAGCTGGGATCAGGGATTTAATTGTTAGAAACAAAGGCAGCTCATAGATTATGGCATACGATGATGATCCATAAAATAATATTAGCTTTTTCTCCGGCCACAGACCTTAAAAATGTTTCTGAATTGCTGAAAGGAGGAAAAAACAACTGAAATAAAATAAAATCCCATCTGTAGTATACTCTCCACTAACACCTACAATGTTTTTTCAGCTACTCCTTTAGGTACTTTTAGTTCCCGGCTTTCCCATCTTTTATTAATGTGCCACTTTTGGGAACAAATATCACGGCCATTTTTTCATGTCCCTTTACGTTTTAAAGTTATATGTCATATTAAAGGGGGTTAAGTTACTTTTAAAAGGATGTTTTTCCACTCATGATACTTCTACCCATAAAAGGCCCTAAATCCCTCAGAAGATCCTAAGTTTTAAGACTCAAATAAATGAATAAAAATTAACCTAAATGAGTCAAATTTTCGGAGGTTCAGTTTTCATTATCCCAAAGTGAGTGCTTCATGGGAACACCTCACAGTGCTCTGTGACTCATAATCGCGTGGGTCAGGGCTCTAGACGCAGATATGAGTAGCCACCCTCTGCACGGTTGAGGCAGAAGGGGATTTATACTGAACACAGATGGCTCTCACAGCTGCGGGAGGCTGCAGGGCAGGGGAGGCTAAATTTCCAGGAATGTCAGCCTGGAATTGGCCCACTGCCACTGCCCCCAGGCCCACGCTCTTTCTTAGGACACCTGTATGAGTGAAGGGAGGTCCTGTGCCTGCCCTGTCCCACCACACAGCTCACACCCAAGGCAAGGTCCCGGCTTGGTCCAGCTGACTGGCAGAACCTAGGTCCCACACTGGCACCCCAACTCAAGGCAGGTGGGAGATGAGGAATTGTTTTTGTCTGTCTGTTTGTTTTCATCTAGGGAAGGCAGGACCCACAGCCCAGGGGTCTACTACAAGGTAGGGAGGCTGTCTAAAGACACTGGGCAACCACAAATGATAGATTTCTGCTATGATACTGTCTCACGAAAATAGCAGGCAAATTGTCTAAACTGACCTCTAGTGTTAAAAAATTGTGCAGCAAAAAGATGTGAAGGAAGTACACAAAATTGTTACTGCTGATGATCTCTGTAGTGGATTGCTGACTATGTTTTGTTTTCAAATTTTTCTGTAATAACACTATATTTCCTTGTAAATTAGAAAAAAAATGAGATCTGACCATTTAAGAAAGGATTAGTTAAAATAATTGCAGCCTCGCTAGATGGATGAAAACTCTTACCTTGAAAGTCCTGAGCAGATTTAATAATCTGTTAAACAGGTGAATATTGAATTTTTTAAAGCAAAAAAATTACTGTCTTATTTAAGCTGCAGTTAAAATCTGTTTCCTGTGGATTTGCTCTCAGTGGGTACAGTAGCTGCTGATCAAATTAGAGAGTCACGGCAGCTTACATCAGGAGGGCCTCAGACATCACTTACCCTAACTTTGTAGCACCCAGCTCGATTTGAAGTTTTAGAAAATACAAACATAGTCACGTACACACATTTATGCACACTGTCCTGCTTACTATCTGTCTTCCTCAGGAGACCCAAGGGCAGGGGTGACGAATTCTCAGAGCCCACTACACCACTACACACACAGCACTCCTCACTGAGATTGCAGAACTCTTAGGCCCCTTGGTTTACTTGTCCCTTGAAGACCTTTCTTTCACTCCTACCCCTTGCTGGACACAAGGGAATGTGAGGTTCCTGCTTTGGAAATATAGCAGGGCTTCTGCTCTGGGGCTCTTCTCCCCATCTGGGAGTTCTGTCCCTCAGGACACGGCCTGGGGGACATGAACTATTTTCAAGGGCTAAGCAGTGCCTAATGTTCGTGTCTCCCCTCCATCTGGTCCCGAGGGTCTCTCTCACGTCGGGCAGGGAGGACACTCACGCCACTGATCAGGTGCTCCTTCAGATCTTTTCTCTTTGGCCTTGGTCTCTCCTTTGGAAAATCAAAAGCCAGGGATTTTACTCATATTCTCTGTGGTTTGTGATGTCATCTTTTTCCTGAGGCAGCCTATGCTACTTGTTCAATTTGAAATATGTGAAAGACTACAGGGAAATTTGGGGAAAATAACCCCGAACTTCTCAAAGATATCATCTGGCCCATTTGTATGGAAGGTGGGCCAAATTTGCAGGGAATGAAATTAGCTATAGTTATCCCAAATTTCCAGTCACTCTCCAAAGTCTGTCAGTTCACTACTGATTCTAGAAAGAAACATGCCACTTGGGAAAGAGAACAGAAAGTTTGCAAAATGAGTGAGTCTGAAGGGGTGCCTGTTTTGCAGCTGCTAAAAAGTTTCTCCTGAACAGCTGAAGTTCTGATAAAATAAATATCTGTCCTGTTACTTAGGAGAGGGTGACAGGCTGAGTGTCGCTGAGCCAGGGGCAAGCTTCCTTGACTTGGTCAGTTTCTGCACTCTGCTTGGCTGATAAGGCTCTCACATTATGTGACATGCAATGAGAGTTTCCTCTATCAGTTCTAGGTAAGGAAGGTGGAATATCTCCACATCTGCCAGAGGTGATTATATTAGATATCACCTGTCTTGATAGCCCTACCTTCATCTGCTAAGCTGTGGGCAAATGAGATTTTATGCCTTATCATCAGGCTGCCAGACGGGGCTCAGGTAACTGTATGTAAAATCCCATGCCCTGTTGCACAATAGTTGATGTTTGCAAGAAAAAATAAGTATCTTAAAGCTTCCGATAGCATTTGTTCCTTCACAGCAAGAGAATATTGCAAGTTTGAGTGAGGCTTTATATTGCCGTGCTATATAAATTAACCACTGTGACTTTTACAACTGCACATTGGCTGGGGCGCAGTAAGAACTGGAAAAGTACCATGAATATGTCATTTGGCTTACGGCTTTATCATTTTTAGAAGTTACAGGAAAACAACCGCGTCTGTCATTTCAAGTTCCTTTATTATACCAAACAGTTTGAGATGCCACTCTTAATAACATGAGGTCATTTTTAACCAAATTCTTGCTGGAACAGTCTCTCTATAGAACACGTTACCAAGCAAGAATTTCTCCAGAATCCACTCCATTATCAAGTAGGGACCTGGTAGGGCGTTCAAGACCTAACAAAACCAATGTGATGGCCCCTGTCCAGTGTTATTGGGGCTGGTCCTTGGTTACATAAGGGAACAATTTTAAAATGAAATGACATAACTAAAACGTTTATATCAACTTAAAACATTGTTGTACATTTTCTCTCATTTTTGTTGTGCAGCCAACATCTGATGTCCTCTGATGAGAGGTCGCTTCATCTTTTTTGCATAAACTTACCCATGTTAAGTTGATTAAGTTTTCCAAGTCTACCTTCTTTAAAGTAGAATGAGAATTTAGCAATCTCAGTTCAGAATTCTAGATTTTTACATTTTTAAACCAACGTTTTAGAACTGTCTTATCAACTACTTCTTTAACAGCATTTTGTTTTTTGCAACTTGTCATTATTAATCTTTGTGATAAGCGTTTGACTTAGTTTTTCTAGCAGATACAACACTCACTCATCCTTCATCAGTTTGTCATATTTAAGTCACAGATTTACAATACTGGGCACGAGTGGCATAAACAGGTTTGGGAATAGACGCTATGACTTGGGTAAACACCTTAACTGGAAGGTGGTCCAGAGAGCACCTGCTGGCCACCGCGTCCCCAACACAAAGGTGGCCATTGGCATCTGTTAGAAAGGGCTGCAGAGCTCTGGTTAATATAGGATTTGGTTAAAGGGCCTTTAATTAAGAGAGCTTCTACTATAAATACATTTTCGTTAATATGCATAGATAGTTACTCTTAAATAACATTACTGCAAAATGTCTTCTAGTACAGGTCCTGCAGAGCTTAATGAACAGCTAAGGCTCACTTATAATCAGTGGAATCTGTCTGCGTACATAATTGGTGCTCTAAAGTGCTTCTCCCGGCAATCTGTTTACACTGTGGCACTGTAATTGGTTTGGTCATCAGTCTGTTTCTTTCTGTAGATGGGAAGAGATAATGTTTTGGTCCACTCCTCATTAGTTCTCACAATTTTTAAATTAATAATTTGGAGATGTAATGAGCTCTTGTTCCATTTATACATGCTTGAATACCTCTGTCAACGTTTTTAGGTTTTTTTCTTTTCCTAAACACTGGTAGCAATAAAGTATGATATGCCAAGGATAGTTTTAAAAAGAAAATAAGTAGATATTGATTCTGCTGATATTAAGTTGATAGATTTGGAAAATTTTAGAGTTGAGAGACAGAGAGAAGCATGTGTATTTATACACACATGCGGAGGCAAAGAGAGAGTCAGAGAGGAAAAGAGAGTCAAAAAGAATAAGACAGATGCAGAGAGACAGAGTGACAGATTTTATAATTATATTATATTCACACACACACACACACACACACACACACACACACATATATATATATAGAGAGAGAGAGAGACAGAGAGACAGAGAGATACCAAGATAGGAATAGTGAGAGAAATAGAAAAGCAGACAGAAACAGGAAAACAGATAAGTAGAGACAGAAAACACACAGAGACAGAAAAAGACAGAAACAGAGACACCTAGAGGCTGAGGAAGAGCCGCTTCAGCCACGCCACTCAAGATTAGCCCTGTCTCTGCCCCGTGTGACCAAACTAGGGCCGCAGGTGTGGAGGGCACTGCCAGGACAGAGGCAGACCCAGGGTGCCCAGGAGTCACCAGTGATAGCAGAACTCTGAGTAGGTCACAGCCTGGGCATTAATTAGATGGCCCTGCACCGCTGTTCACATCTATTAAACATGTTTTTGAGTTCTAAATGTATTAAAATTTTTTTTTTTTTTGGGCTGCAGAAAGGTCCTGAAGGAAATCTCTACTGGAGAACTCAATCCAAATGAGACTCTGCAGGCCACTTTGGAGGCCCAGCTCCTTTCCAAGCTGGACCATCTAGCCATCGTCAAGTTCCATGCGAGCTTTGTGGAGCAAGATGATTTCTGCATTTTCACAGAGTACTTTGAGGTGAGACTCTCCTTCACTTTTTGAAATCTTAATAAAAATATATTTCATAGGGCTTCCCTGGTGGCACAGTGGTTAAGAATCCGCCTGCCAAAGCAGGGGACATGGATTCGAGCCCTGGTCGGGGAAGATCCCACATGCCCCAGAGCAACTAAGCCCGTGCGCCACAACTACTGAGCCCGTGTGCCACAACTACTGAAGCCCGTGTGCCTAGAGCCTGTGCTCCACAACAAGAGAATCCACTGCAATGAGAAGCCTGCGCACCGCAACCAAGTGTAGCCCCCACTCGCCGCAGCTAGAGAAAGCCCGCGTGCAGCAACGAAGACCCAATGCAGCCAAAGATAAATAAAATAAATAAAATTTAAAAAATATATATATTTCATAGTAAAAAGCTGTCTGTAAAGAGACATCTCAGAAGTTTAACTAGCCAACCACAAGGTGAACTATAAATACCTGGGATGTTGTGTCTTGCTGCTAAGAGTGATCATCTCTATGTAATTGACAAACTTGTTTCTGATGAAGGGTTTCTCTTTCTTGGAAAACTCAGAGTGAATGTATTTTAAGGAGGAACTGCTGCAGAAAAACAATCCAGCATATTTATTTTTGGTGTGTGTGTGTGTGGGGGGGTGCATTCTCCAAGCCTCCGACAACGGTTCGATTATTAGATGGACATTTAAATGCCGTAACAGAGGCCTGGACAGAGCAGAGGGACACCTCCTGAGTCCTGTGTTCTAGCTCTGTGGTTCATTTTCCCCAATGGAAACTTGGAAATGGGAATATGGCTCATTTTCCCCATGAAAATCCTTCATATTAACTCATTTGTGAATTATGGCTTCAGGTATTTGCAGTTTTCCCTGCCATTCCATGTTCTCCCCAAGTGATAATAGCTGTGCATTTTACTGAGCCCAAGTGAACATGAAGCTGCTGAGAAAGGTGCCGGGTGGAGGGGGCTTGGGGCTGACAAGGTGCAGCATATGTGGGTCTGGGAGGTCACTCCTGAGAGGCTAGGGAGAGGGGAGTTACAGGGGTTGGGTCAGAAAGAGAATACCCAAACATGCCCTTGCTCAGACAGTATCTTCCAGAACATTCTGAGAGCTAATGTTAGCCAAATGTACCTTGGGAGAACCTGGTTCTATTCATACTTTAGAATGTATTCAGTTCATCACCTGGGTGTTGCTGGGGCCCAAGAGAAATGACGCTGGGAAGAAAGAAGATGCTCTTTAGAGGGGGAGGCAGGCCTGTTTGGGTCAGAGGGTGCTGGGTGTCTGAGGTGCGGAAAAGAAGAGGAAGGAGGAGGAGCAAATCAGAAGGAGTAAAGATAGCAACAAAACCCAGCCTCGCTGTGCTTTATATGGTAGCTGATGTGTCATCCAAAATGAAACCAGTAGCAAAGTTAGAATATCTGAAAATTTGATATCATCCAGGTCTTGGCTGTTCCCCTTCAGGACGGTCTCCCTGGCACAGCCTTGCTGGGAGTTTCCCCATCCAGTCTTGCCCCTCCTCTGCTTGAAGGAGAAGCGGGGGAAGAAAAGAAAAAGAACCAGGACATTTGGGTGTTTACTTCTCCTTCATCCAACAGATTTTTAAGAAAATCAGTAAAATGATGAGGTGCGCAGAGCATGGGTAAGAACAGCTGCTCTGGCAAATATGTCACTGATCTATGCAAAACCCAGGGATTTACAAATATAGCTACACTATGATCCATCAGCTATAATTTAATCATTTTCTTCTTTTTGCCCCATTCAGTTAATAAACTATCTTGTGTGGGAAGCAACTGGCTCCTATTGCTTATGCCTATTACTGTTACCTCTGCTGCTGCTCTCGGCACACTGAATTTTCCAAAGAGACTCTCACGATCTTAAAATATTTTTCACTGTAGTGAGGACTGTCTAGTGGAACTTTGTGTGATGATGGTAATACTCTATATTTGTGCTGTCCAATATGGTAGTTGCTAGTCACATACGACCCTTTAGCACCTGATGAAATATGGCTAGTATGGTTGAGGAGATGGATGTTAAACTTTATTTAATTTTAATTACTTTAAATGTAAATAACCATGTGTAGCTGGTGGCTACCATATTGAACAGAGCTAGATGATAAGCTATAACTTTCTCTCCTTATGTTAATTTTTAATTATTAATTTTCATGTAATTTTAATCTACTAGAAAAGTTACAGAACACAGTGAACTCCCATATACACTTAGCCCAGATTTACCAATTGTTATTTTTTCACATTTGCTTTATTATTCTATCCTTTCTATCTATCTATCTATCTATCTATCTATCTATCACCTATCTATCTATCATCTATCTATCTATTTTTTCCTGAACCACTTGAGAGTAAGTTGCAGACATGATGCCCCTTTGTCCTAAATCCTCCTATGAGTGTTTTCTAAGGCCAAGGACATTTCCTTAACATAACTACAGTACGAAGATCAAAATCAGGAAATTAACATCGATGCAATGCTGGTATGTAATCCAGTGGTTGTCAGTGTGTGATCCCAGACCAGCAGCATCAGCATCATTTGGGATCTTTACTTAGAGATACAGATTGTTAGCTTCCACCACAGCCACAGCGAATTAGAAATTCTGGGGGTGGGAACTGGCTATCTGTTTTGACAAGCCCACCAGGTGAGGCTGAAGCACACTGCAGTTTGAGGACCACACATCTAATCCACAATTCACACTCAAATTGAGCCCATTTGTCCCAGTTATGTCTTTAGAAAGGACATTTCTATAAGAATGTCTTTTTCTCACGCAGGATCCAATCCAAGATCATCTGCATTACTTTTTAAATGCTGGCGGTTTCCAAGGGCTGAGCTGCTCCTCCCACCCCAGGATGTTGCCATGGTGACTGCCGCTGGCCGGGGAGCAGCTGCTGGGCTTCCCTGTTCCACCTGCTGAGCTGTCAGGACGCGCTTCCCTGAGGAATGACGTGTGTGGGTCGCTAGTTTTCCTTGTTAACCGAGATATTTCTCATCTTCATGAGCTTAGCTCACACAAACCTGGCATTATCCTCTTCTTATTGAGGTAAAATAATAATATTGGAAATGGCAGATGGCCAGACTTGCACCTCACAGAAAAATGTTATCACCATTGAAATAGCTGGGTTTTTTGATCCCCAAGTTTCCTCTTCTGTAATTTAATTTGGAGCCTTGCAATATTGAAATACACACATATAAATGCATTCACGAGGCTGCTATGTCCACCACCCAACCCTTTGGACGCATCACATCAGATTATGAGTGTAAAAAGCAAATTACCAAATTCTCACAACTTCTTGTCAAGATCTAACTAAATCTTTGATGGGGAATAGTACCCAAACTACCAAAGTGACAGAATGTTTCAGGTATTGGTGCCTTCCATTCTCCTCCAGCCAGGGAAATGGGGCAACTTGCTGTCCCCTGTCCCTCCTCCACAGTTTCCCACCTCTTCATCTGTGCCCTTTCAGACTGTCCTTCCTCCTAACCCCATGTTTTCAGTTCCCACCCATCCTCCCAGGCCCGCTGAAATGTCACCCACTCTACAAAGATTCCTATAATCTCCTGGCTGGAAATCACTTCTCACCCGATCCCCGACTCTCATCGCATTTCAACTCGGTGACACACAGCACATTATACATAGTATCATCCATCTCAGATCAGACTCTCAGCGTGTGGGATTGATCTTTTTCTGATTCATTTTTGTATTGCATCATGAACCCATGTAATGAGCCACAAAAAATTAGTACTCAGGAAATTTCTTTTCTTTTGACGAATTCTTTACCACTTGCTTCCAGCTGCCTCTCATCTTATTTCTGTCAAAAGCCGGTGGTAAAATTTTGGATCCTTCTATCTGTCATATATGTTGAAAGCACTTTGTCAGAAAGCAGGGAAGGTTGGACTTGTCTGTTTGCTGCACTGTGATATTAACATAGCTAAATAAAAATTATATCAATATAGTTGTACTGCTTAACCTTGGCTGCACACTGGAATCACCTGAAAAGCTTTCAGAACTAATGAGGGCTGAGGCCCTCCTTCAGAAAGTCTGATTTAATTGGCCTGGGGAATGACCCAGGCATTAGGATTTTTGAAAGCTCTCCAGGTGATTCTAATGGGCAACCAGGGCGGAGAACAGCAAAAAAAGGGAGAATGGCCAGTGTGGAAACAGAAAAATATAGTCATAGAAGAAAACCATGTCAGTGTTTATGGAGCACTGAGCAAAGATGAGGCTCAGCTGAGAACAGGGGAGTCTGGCTGGCTCTGCTGGTGGGTGTGGTTTTCTGCTCAGGCTACCAGCTGGATGCTGTTATTCATGAAAATTACCTGCTTCGTTCTCCGGGCTCCCTGAGCAACCTTCTATCCTGTTTCTCCTCAAACTTTCATGCCCTGATTTTAGCATTTTTTCAGTGGTAGTTTCCTTGAGAAGTTTTTACTGTGATATTTGCCTAATGGTGATTATGTATTTCCCTCATTCTTTCTACATTTATTGATTAGGGCTCTCCTGTTAGAAAGAGCTATTCCACTGTTCCTTCGCCTCCATTGATGTCTTTATTCAATTATTTATATCAGTATGGACTCAGGGATATTTATTTTATTCTATGGGTTATAGCCCAATGCTGTCATTATTAATTTTCTTTCTCAAATTGGTCCAGCTTCGGCTAGTGGGGCTCATTCAGATTGGCTCCTGTGTCCTCTAAACATGCCCCCATCCTTTTTGAAGAAGTGGATTCTTATCTATAAACTATATTTTGTAGATGAGGAAATGGGAACCCAGAGAGGTGATTTTCTGGCAATCACATGGCTGGAATGTTGGATTTCATCCAGGACCAGGACCAGGATCACAGGGGTATAGGGAAAGCTGCTCCTGTTTTCCTTTTACTTGGATTGCTCCTATTCCTCCCTTAATATTTAACAGAGTCAGGGCTTCCCTGGTGGCGCAGTGGTTGAGAGTCTGCCTGCCGATGCAGGGGACACGGGTTCGTGCCCCGGTCCAGGAAGATCCCACA